ATTAACAAGTGAGCATTTTTTTCACGGCAATATAGTTATTTGCATAAGTTCAATAAGAATCTGTTCTCCTGGGCCAGCCTTGGGGCCGAGTGGTTAAGTTCGCATGCTCCGCTTCGGCGGTCCAGGGTTTTGTTGGTTTGGATCCTGGGTGTGGACATGGCACCACTCATCAGGCCATGTTGAGGTGGTGTCCCACATGCCACAACTAGAAGGATCCACAGCTAAAACATACAACTATGTACTGGGGGGATTTGGGGAGAAAAAGCAATTGAAAAAAAAGGTTGGCAATAGTTGTTAGCTCAGGTGCCAATCTTTAAAAAAAAAAAAAAAGAAAAAAGAATCTGTTCTCCTTATAACAGGACACAATTAGAAACATTGGTTATATTACCAAGGCTTTGACTTGAATGTTATATTTGCAAGAAACCTACAGACTCAGATATGACCAGACAGCTTTTGAGGAATAAAGGTTGACTTTCTGGAATAAAGCTACTTGGAAATATTGGCCTGGTACCTTGTTTACAGGGATTCTAGTAATCTCATCTGGTAAATAAAGAAGGTCACTTATCTGGTAGACACCTGGAACCTTGAAATATTTGGGGGGACCCCAAGAAGAGAGACAGCCACCCAAATCTGTAGGTATTGCAGAAAAAATCTGATGATAAGTCCTTGGCTTGGCTTTCCTGGCCTCGAGAGGCCTTTAAAGTTCAATCTAAGATTCCTCATAAAAAGTTCCAGCAAAGCAGATTTGAAAGACCCTATATAATCAATTACTATTCTTGCTGTACTTATGTAAATAATGGAGCCAAGTTTATTGAAACTAAACTTATTTTGTAAACAAGTTAGTTTTAATTTGGCTATCCTTTATAAAAAATGAGGGTGATTTTAGATAGAAAAATTATGTTTTAATAGAAACTACAGTGCATATTCATGGATATTAGATTCCAGTTCTGATAATTGTCTTTGAGGTTTTGTTTCATATCCGTTAACCCGACTGGATTGTGAATTATTCTAGTCTCTTGAAATTTCTGTCTGCAAGTCTCCAAAGTAACATTTTTAATTTTTTCCCATCATTTTCATTTGGAATCATTGAGAACTGAACTGCCCTTTTTCCAGAAGCCTTGCAAACTGAAGCTGGAGGACTTGATAAAAACTTAAGAGAGATTCATGTCTGTTGCTGTGTAAGATAGTTGAATACCCAATGACATCATCAGAGACATTTCAAACTTCAAAGGATGCTTTGACCCTTATGTCTAGAAATTTTCTTGACTGGCTGTCTCCTGGGCGCAGAAACTGGTTTATAATTTGCTCCCACCATTAACCTTGCTTTCCTTTTGTCTCTCTAGAAATGCTTCTTATTAAATACCTGCTTACTTGCTTACACAATATAGGCCTAACTTTGGGAACCCACCTGCATCACCATCTTACTAAGAGACTGGTTCAATGAGATGGAACAACCTATGCCCCTCATCAACAGGATGTCTTTCAAGATTGAGGAATGAAAACTAAAGGGGGGGGAATTGATACTAGCTCAACACAAGGTTGACATAAGGGAAGCCATATTTTAGAAAAGAAACCATATTGTAACTTTGAATGATCTCTGAGAAACTAACCCAGCTGGATATGCACCCTCCAGGAGATCCACCTGCTCTGTAGATTTTATGACCCCTGCTTGTGCAGGTACCTCTCAGCTGCGATAAGACAATAACTTCATACCTTTGAGTTCCTTAGGAATGTGATGACCCCTGGACAGAGAGTTTATGCTGATATCCTCATCAATGACAACTGATAGATCAGGGTACAGTGTGTTGCTCTGGTCTCAGATGCATATCCAGTAAAACAAAAGACTTATCAAGAACTAAGACCAGATGTCTGCCCCCACCTGGAGATCAGATGGAGGCCCCAGTGGGATTAGATCTATTTTTCAGAGACTGTTAAAATTTGGGTTGTCTATACTTCTTATCCTTCTGGTCCCAATACTTGATTATAAAATGTGTCTTGAGATCTTCCAAAACTGTTGAGCATGGTACAAAATTCTAATAATGCAAAATGTCAACCTGAAGCCAGGAACAAAAATATTTCCAAATGAGTGCTAAACAGTTCATTCCTCTAAGCCAGATCTACACCCCAATTCAGCAGTAAGTAGCTAGATCAGTCGTCGCCCCAAATCCCTCAAGAATGAGGAACGACCAAAGAACAGGGAGGATTGAAACTGGCAAACAGTTAGCCATTGATGATTAAGTAGCTAAGAACTAAAGAGTTTTTTCCTTTTTGCAATTATTGATTATAGCTTTTAGCTGTTTAACCCACCTATTGTTAACTGTGTTGTTTAAATAATATGCTATCTGACTCCCACTAGGTTCCTACAGATAACATCTCCCTGGAGGCTGGGTCACCATGGTAATGGGGATGTGAGCTGCTTTTCAGAAATTAGAATCCCCTGTGTACTTCAGGCCAACTGAGACTTCCAACTCACCAACTGGGCCTGTGCAGATGTTCAGTAAGTGACCTTTTGACGTCAAGAGGCTAAAAAACCCACCCTCAGATCATGCTAATGCACCATTTTGTAAACATGCATCCTATGAAGAGGCATGGAGTCTGCCTATGCTTGCACAGATCATCAATTACCTCACCTCTCCTCACCTCCAATCATCTATCTCTACATTTCAGACCACCTTACTTCTCTATCCCATAAATATCCCTGAATCCCTATTTTCAGGGAAGCAGATTTGAAACTCATGCTCTCGCTCCCTCACATGGCTGCCTTGTGATTAAAGCCTCTCTCTGCTGCAATCTTGTCGTCTTGGTGTTTGGCTTTCCAGGTGGCAGGCAAAAACAAACCTGGTGCAGCAACAAGAGCAAATCCAGGCTTTGGCCACACAGGGTCTCTGGTCCCAGGACTGGGTGCACAGGCTCAGGGACAAGGAGCAGGGCCAGGGCTGTAACTCTGTAGCTGGGAAACCACCCACTGAGATGGGTGCCAAGGAGCAAGGGTGGAAGCAGGTGCTGAGTCCTCTCCTTTCCCCTCCCAAGACCCCTCAGTCCCACCTGGGCAGTAGGAGCAACAGGCCAGCGTGTGCTCCTCCACAGCAAGCTGGGAGGTGGAAGGGAGGAAGCACCTCAAGGGGTGGCAGAGAGAGAAAATAGTGGCATCAGTCACTCCAAGGAAGCTATTTGGCGGAAAAAGACATTCGAGAAGTTTTAACAAAAATAAAATCAACTTCCATATTATTCACTGACTTTTTGAAAGCGTACTTCTATAAATTTACAACGAAAAGATCAATTACTCCATAGAAAATGGACAAAAGATACAATAAATAGTCTATTTTAGAAGAAATACAGATAGCCTATATGAAATTATAGCAAAATGCACTAATAACCAACAATACAAATCTCAAAAGTATTGTGCTAAGTGAAAGAAGCCAGACACAAAAGAATACATACTGTATGAGTCCATTTATATGAAATTCTAATAAAGGCAAAGCTATGGTGACAGAAAGCAGATCAGTGATGGCCAGGGGCTGGGCTTGAGGGAGGGGATGGACCACAAAGGGGCAGGAGAGAACTTTGTAGGGGGATGGAAATTTCTATATCATGACTGTGGTGGTAGTGATTACACAACTGGATGCATTTGTCAAAGCTCACTGACCTGTATACTTAAAATTGATGAATTTTGGAGGCCCACCCAGTAGCATAGTGGTTAATACCATGTGCTCAGCTTCGGCAGCCAGGGGTTCATGGGCTTAGATCCCAGGTGCAGACCTACACACCTCTCATCAAGCCATGCTGTGGCAGTCTCCCACACACAAAATAGAGGAAGCTTGGCGCAGATGTTAGCTCAGGGACAGTCTTCCTCACACACACAAAAAAATTGATGAATTTTATTGTATGTAAATGATACCTCAACAAAGCTGACAATAATAAAGAGAAGATTTTTAAAGCCTCATTGTAGGTTTAAGCAAACTAATAATTCTAGATCTTTCTACTCTGAAAGATCTAGAAGTGGTTAACTCCATCTAGTCCAACGCCTTCCTTTTATGTTTTATATTTTGCAAATGAGGAAACAGAGGCCCAGAGAGAGATGACGCAACTTACTCAAAATCACACAGTTTGCTGGAGGTGGCGCAGCCGCATCCCAGCCCCCAGCCCACGTGTCTTTTTCGCCTCCTTTGTATGCTGCCGTCCTTCTCAGCACAGGGAAACCGTGACGACATCGTGCCTCATGTCGCGCAAACAACTCACAAGCACCATAAAATATTTTGCAGATATATAGTGCTTTGATTTTGACACATCCTCATGTAGTAGATAAGGAAAATATTATTTCCATTTTTCTATTGGAATGGTGGAAGCACAGAGAATTCAAATTACTTGCCTAAGGGCACATAAGTAACTCACGCTTTGTGGGTTTTTTTCCTCTCTTTTTTGAAGTTAGAAAAGTCTCTTTTAAATTTTTAAATTGTAATTTCACCCTGGTGAGATGAGTGATTTGGGAACTAAATCCAAAGGCAAGCTCCCCACTCCGTCGTCCGCCGGGGGGGGGTGGGGGGGGGGGCGGGACACAGCAGGAAGCAGGGTGGCTGTGCAGAGCCAAGCTCCTAGCCCCGCAGAACCTGGGCCTTTGACCCAAGCCGGCTGGTTAGTTCCACACACGCCCTGCACGCCCAGCTGGAGACAGGGTGACACCAGGAGAGGCAACGAGAGCTGCAGAGCCACTGAGGAGCCAGCCACTAACCGGGGGTGAGGAGAGCCTTGCGATGAAAACAAGCCCCCCACACCTTCAGCCAGGGCACCTCCAGAAGCCCCTCCCACAGCCACTACCTGGAGTGGAGCGGCAGTCTTCTGCCCAATCCAGAAGGTGCGACCTTTGAAAGGAGGCAGCCAGCAGACGCCTTGTGACTGCAAGATCAGCCGCCTGGCTCCCAAGCACCTCCTTGGGTCTGGGCCCAGGAAGGGTGCTGGCCCTTCCCCACTGACCCCAACCCTCCCTCGCCCCGCACTCCCGCCCCTGGCAGCCAGCCCCATTCTCACAAATTTTAGTTATATTTACATATTCAAATACATTATAGTTATATATTTAAAAGAGAAGAAAACTTGCCTGAAGAGAAACTGCTGAAGGACTCAAGTAGCTCAGGACATTTCCTGTCCGTCCGTCCCCTCTCTCCTCACAGAAATGCTTCTATAGAATCTTCCAGCGCCATCCCCAGGACCCCGTGGCGTCCAGGCTCACCTCCGGACGTCCACTGCGGCCACGGCTTTCCGCTGTGCGCACCGACAGGGAAAGACGTCCATGCATGGTGCTGCAGCTAAAATAGAAGAGTTTGTAGTATTGGATGCCATTTACGATCCTAATACTTTGGCGGTGGACAGGGGATGGATTCTGTGCCCATTCTGCTAAAATGAACATTGTGCCCCTGAGAAAGAAGTCTAAGGTGGTGACAGTGTTTTGGTTAAAATGTCAAAGGCTGCACCCTTCCGCCACCAGCTGTCCTCTCTGGCCGGGACGGTCAGCGTTGTTTCTCTGTCCACACAGCGGGACCTGCAAAGGTTGACAGTGAGGTCCCCACAGGGACTCAGCGTGCGGGCAGCCTGAGGGTCAAGGGTGCAGTGAGACGGCTCCCTGAAGACTGAGACCAGACACCGGGTCACAACCAGGCGAGCCGCGCAGGCCCGGGGCAGACGACCGGCCCTGCGGTTAGGGCAGAAACAGCTGAATCGCGGAGGCGCGGGTGAGCCGCGATGCGGGCACCAGGTAGCCTTGGTCGGAATGTCTTCTACTTAACGTCGTTCAGAACTTCTCTTGTTCCTGACGAAATCTGGAGAGGAGGAGGCTGCCGTGCTCTCTGAGGCTCCCCCGCCCGGGGGCTGGGATGGCTACATGGAAAGCTCACCACTTGGGGACCCAGAAATGAGAGACTGCCAAGATGGTTAGGTCAATGGGGAAGAAAGGAAGCGCACGTCTGTGTACCATCCAAGGGGAATATTTGATGCCTGCCTGCGGCTCCATCGGGTGTGAGCTCTGGCAGGGCAGGGGATGCATCAGTGTTTGTTCACTGCGAGACTCGGCACAGGGACCACGCAAAAGGGACCAGTAAGGACTCGCAGACTGAATGAACGGCAAAACATCATTTCCTGAATCCAGCCGTTGTCCTGTCATTCTCCCAAGCCCCCTGCCCTTCCCACTGCAACACCTCAAAGAGCATCCCCAGGAGGAACAGAGTGGAGACCACCTACAAAGGAAGAAATGGGGCGACACGCGGTCCCGCAGATCTAGCTGAAGGGCTGGGGTGAGGGTGAGGCCCAGTCGCTCATGTCACGCTGGACTCGGGCTGGCACTCCAGGCCAGTGCTGTGTGAACCGGGTCTAAACTCTTCAAGACCCTTTGTCTCACACCTTCCTTTCTTCCTCAGATGGAATTGGAAGCATATTTCACAATTCTATCACCTTCTCAGAGGTTTCAAATACATTCATAGGTTCGAGTGAACCCGGGAGGGGGAGCTTCCTAGGACAATAAGGTAAAAAAAGGAAGACAGCTGGCGGAGGACCATCCTGAATGGGAAGGATGCCAGCTCCCAGGGTTTTATGGTAATTGAGGGCTCTTTCCCTGAATCAAGTTAAAAACTTCTCTAATGCCTTACAGTAGGATTCTAGATGTGTAAGAATGGTCGAAGCTATAAGCACAGTCAGTGTACAATATCGCAATGGCAGCAGTACTCACTGTATTGTTAGTGTGCCTTTGGATTGAATGTCTTCTCTCAAGGATGTGACCATTTTCAAGGGAGAAATTCTGGAGATGGCTGGTTCTGTCAACACTAGTGTTACATCATTTAATTGTTAACACCACCTTATGAGGTCATTGGTATTGTACACAGTTATAGCAAGTGGAACTAAGGCTTAGAGAGGGTAGGTTATTTGCCCAAAGTTCATGCCTACCAAAGATGAGATTGGCGTCATGTACTTTTCAAAGCCAGTGCAGTCGGCTGATAAAACCATGAAGTCAAGTGGTACAAAAATTGTTTTTCTATTGGTTTCTCGTTTTTCCACTGACTACTTTAAAGTAGACATGGCAGTAACATAGGAAGGTTTTTAAATGGAAGCCTTGGGATATTCTGCAATTTTGGTTATCAAAGTTTATTATTTCCAGCAAAAACATGATTTTTTTTAATCAATGCTCTTCCACCTTAATCAAAATAATAAACAGGAAGAAGAGAAAGCATGAGTGATTTTCATTGCTTCTCCAATCCAAAAGGAAAACCCAAAAGATAAAAAACAAATGAAAGTTTAGAGAAGTCCCAATTTTCTCCCCTTTCATCAATTGGATAAAATGATCAAACTGTCACTTCTGAGGTGGTAACTCCCCATTGTGCTTACGGAAAGGTTTTGTTGCCTGTTGGGTGTAAAGCCCAGATCTGCAGAGTGCTCAACAGGGATAAACGCAACAATATTTGACCAAACCTTTGTATGATGCTGGGCGTCTTGGAAATCACTGGATGAGACGCTTGGTTAAGATGACTCTTAACCTCATTGCTCATTTTTACCATTTCTCCACAAACCATTTCTCTTTCTCCTCAATTTCCCTGTAGGGCTCTCTTGGGAGAGGGGCAGACAATTGCTGGTCAACCCCATCAGACTACCGTGATGTTATGAGACATCATAGAATGTCCAATGATTTCAATCAATCCCTCTCTCTCTTTTCTTTAAATTGAGATATAATTCATATATCAGAAAACTCATCATATTAAAACATATGATTCAGTGGCTTTTAGTATATTCACAGAAAGTAGAATGATGGCTGCCTGTGGATGGGGGAAGGAAGGAATGGAGAGTTATTATTTAATGGTACAAAGTTTTAGTTTTGCAAGATGAAAAGAATCCTGGAGATGGATGACGGTGATGGGTGCACAAAATGTGAGTGTACTTAATTCCACTGAACTGTACACTTAAAATGGCAAATTTTATGTTATGTGTATTTTACCACAATTTTAAAAAAGAAAATTATTAAGGGAGTAAAAATCCAATTGATAGAGTGGAGAAAAATATTTGCAGATCATATATGTTATAAATGTATAATATCCAGAACTATAAAGAACTTTTACTATTCATCAATAAAAGGACAAATAACCCAACTTAAAAATAGACAAATGATTTGAATAGACATTTCTCCAAAGGATGTATACACATAGCCAATAAGCACTTGCAAATATATTCAACATCATCATATGCTGCTGGTAGGAAAACAGTCAGCTATTTCCTCAAAAAGTTATACATACCAATTCCTATGTATATATCCAAGAGAAATGAAACTATACATTCATGTAAAAACTTGTATACAAATGGTCATAGCAGCATCCTTAATAATAGCCAAAAAAAAGTGAAAGCAACAAATATCCATTAATTGATGAATTTAAAAAATGGCATATTCATACATTGAAATATCACTCAGCCATAAAGAGGAATGAAGAACTAATACAGGCTATGATATAAGTAAACTTTGAAGGCATTATGCTAAGCGAAAGAAGCCAGGCACAAAAGGTCACATATTTTATGATTCCATTTATATGAAATGTCCAGAATAGATAAATCCATAGAGACAGAAAGTAGATTACGGGAGTAGGGGTAGGAGGAACTAATAAGTATGAAGTTTCTTTTTGGGGTGATGGAAATGTTCTGGAATTAGACAGTGGTAATGGTTGCATAACATAGTGAATATGCTAAAAACCACTGAAATATTTCACTTAAAAATGGTGGATTTTATGTTATATTAAAATAATATATATTATATATAATTATATATATAATTATCATAATAAAATTATAATAAAAATAATGCTATATATATAAAAAGAAATAGGGCATGAGTAAAAATCAGTCCCTCTATCATTATAGTAGGTGGCGAGGACAGAGAAGACCTCTGTGCTGTTAAGAGCATCAGCTTGCATATATACGTGCCAGGGGGTTTGTCCCACAGGAAGGGCATCTCCATCTGCGAGTGCCCGGTACTCCTGCACGCTGCAGCACTATTCGGAAGGATTCCAGCGATGATGACGATGATAGTAACGGGTAAGTAACGCTTAGGTGCCGGGACTGTTCCGAGCATGTTATACACGCTCCTCCATCTACTCTTCACAGCAACCCCATGAGAGTGGTTCTCAAGCTTGAGTGTGCATCAGAGTCAACTGGGGGCTGTGACAACTCAGATTACTGACCTCCGTCCCCCAACTTTCTGTTCAGTGGGCCTGGGGTGTGGCTCCAGAATTTGCTTTCTAACAAGTTCTGAAGGCATGCTGATGCTACTAGCGGGGGAACCTCACTTTGAGAACCCCTGCCCTGGAAGATGGGTGCTATTATGTGCCCCATTTACAGATGAGGATGGTCACAGCAGTGGTGTATGCAAAATCAAGGGTGGTGCCAGGTTCCTCTCTAAAGTGAGGAAGCAACTTAAATGTGCTTCAGGCCAGCAGGGCTTAGAAAAGGAAGCTGAGCTTTGGGGACTTTGCCCTCGTCCCTCACCCCCAGCCACCCTCACTTACTTGGCAAACTGGACTCTCGGTGCCGGAGGGCACCGGGAGAAGTGAAATGTGTGCACGGACTCCATCGTAAGAGAAAGCACCAAAGCTGTCCAGGGCCAGGCTCTGACTTCGGTGCCGATGCCGGATTCCTGGAGTCGTGCTGAAAGGAGGAAAAGACAAGTGAGCCACACGGAAGGCATGCTGCGAGCTGAGCTGGGCCTCCACATCTCCCCGCCCCAGCGGCTTCCAGGAGGGCATTTTACCCTGTGCCTGTGGGTGTTTCCTTGCTTGATCATTTCTCGGAGACGAAAGCTCTGCACCTGACCTGTGATCCATTCACCGTCAGCTTTGTAAGCCTGCCTTGGAGGACAATGCTCCAGTGACTCATGGTTTGAGAAGCTCAGGGATTAAAAAAGTGAGGTTCATTCCTTCACCAATTCTAAAGACACACACACAAAACATTCTTTAAAAACTTGAGACCACGAAAAGGAAACAGAACCGTATAATCAAGCATCCCCGATTCCCTCTATGAGCCCCTCAAAACCCCAAACCAAGGAAGTCTTCTCAATATAAACTCTGGATTTTTTGCTGAGTTACTGACTCCACTCTGGTGGTTTATGTTCGTTTTTTCTTGTGTCCCCCCAAACCCCAAAGGTCGCTGCCTCCTTATCTGGGTTTCATTGTCCTCAAAGCAGACCTGTAGCTGTGGTCTCAAGCACACCTGAACTTTATCCTCAAATCCACGGATCCACTGAGGAACCAGCTTCAACTTTTGAGAGCTAACCACCCTTTGAATAAGGAATCTGGTCTTTGTTCGTTATCACTGCTAACACGCCCCGATGAAAAAAACACTTAAGAGTACAGTATAGAACATGCAGTTCTGATCCAAGGAAGAAATAACTACTTCTTTTAAATGCATTTTATTATTAACAGCATCCGGTGCCCAGATGGTGTTCTCCCACTCTGGGAGGAGATGTCAAGCGCATGGCAGAACACACAGGTCAGATTTGTAGAGGAGATTCTCTGGCCTCCAAAGGAGAGCTAATGGATTACATACTTTGGGGTGGGGATGAGCACTGTGGGGAGAAGCGCCACAGGTCGGCTCCTTGTTACCTACTGCACCAAGACGCTTGCCATAATTGCATTGGCATAGATCTATCATGTTCTGTGCCCATTTGCTGTAAAATCAAGATTACTGTGGTAATCTAAGGTTTCAAAATGGAAAAGCTGAGCCTGAGAAAACTGTGAAAGGGATACGAAGATTGTCTCTAAAAAACTGCTAAATTACACCAAGCAAAGCACAATAAGTACAAGGTCAGAGCTTAATTAAGGATTGGTCACTTGACTAAAATGTGACCATTTTAATAATTAACACTCATCTAAGTTATTTGGCAAAGAAATGGAGATAGTGGAGAAGGAATATGAACAAAATGGTTAGCCATACCATCTTTTTGTAATACATTATTTAACAGGTTTTGAATAAATAGATGTTAGAATTTCTTGCTTAAATGGCTTCTGCCAAATTTCTCTGGCATTTAGATATTCCTTGGTCTAATTTTAGGTTTGGGCACATTCGAAATAAAAAGAGTCCATGCTTTCTCCAATGCATTTGTGTCACATTCCAAGAAACAAAGAGGATGCCATTCTTTGGTGCGGCACCTGCCACAGAACCTCCTCTCAGGCTGTCGCCTAGGGTGCAGGCCTTAATGCAGTAGCTTTCCACCCTGTGCAATCTCATGGAGCTGTGCTCCCAGGGCAACTATAAAAGTCATATATTGGAATGCGTACTTAGATTTCTTGATTGATCGTGTTGAACTCAGTGATATATTAAAATTTTTTTAACCTGCATTTATAATACAACATACTTTTATAATCACCTAAGAGCTTCAGCCTCTAGTTACAGTTGAGAGAAAAGAACTTCTATTTCCTCGAAGACCTTAAAATGAAATGTTTAATGAATTGATTTTTAAAAATTGTATGGGGTTGCCAGCACAATTCAATACGGAAAGGATGGTCTTTTCAACAAATGATGCTAGAAAAATTGGATACCCATATGCAAAAGAATGAAGTTGGACTCTTACCTTACACCAAATTCAAAAATCAACACAAAATGTATGAGAGACCCAACATAAGAGCTAAAATTATAAAACTTTAGACAAAAACACAAGGGAAGAGCCTCATGATCAGATTTAATTTTTTGGGATATGACACCAAAAGAACTGGTAATCAAAGTAAAAATAGATATATTAGACTTCATCAAAAGTAAAAAGTTTTGTGCATGAAAAGACTTAATGGAAGAAGCACCTCACAGAACTGGAGAGGATATCTGCAAACCATATACGATGGGGACCCTGCGCAATGCTGGTAGAAATGTGAAGTGGTACAGCCACTGTGGGAGACAGAAAAAAATTAAACATAGAAATACCATATCCAGGAACTCCACTTCTGGGTACAAACCCAAAAGAACTGAAAACAGGAACTGAAACATTTATACAACAATGTTGACAGAGCATTATTCAAAATAGTCCAACGTGGAAATAACTCATATGACCATCCAGGGATGACTGGAGAAACAAAACATGGTACATTCATAAAATGGAGTATTAGTCACCTTTAAAAAAAAAAAAACGGAATTCTAACACACACTACAACATAGGGTGAACTTTGAAGATATTACGATAAGTAAAATAGCCAGGCACAAAAGGACAAATATTACATGACTTCTCTTATTTGAGGTAGCTAAAGTAGTCAAATTCAGAGAGAAAGAAGATAGAAGAGTGGATGCCAGGGCCTGGCGGGGAGCAAAGCAGAGTTACTATTTAATGGATACAGAGCTTCAGTTTGGGAAGATGAAAAAGTTCTGAAGATGGACAGTGCTGATGAATGCACAACAACGTGAATATACTTATGTCCACTGAATTGTACACTTAAAAATGGTTAAAATAGATATTTACGGCAATATATACATATTACCCCAGTAAAAAAATTCTATCTAGTTGTGCTTCTAGAAAGTTTATCAATTTAATCTTAAGTAGAAATTAGTTTACAAGTCCACATAAACTGAGACTCTATTTTTATCAAAAGACTTCAAAACATGCATAGAAAAAAGGCAGTGTAGAAAGGGACATGAGGTGACGATTTTTTTCTGAAAGGTTATTTTCTACAATGAATATATTTTTTAAATAAAAAATGACAAACGTACATTTCTGGTTTGTGTTCCTCAAATTCTTAATTATATACATTAATATTTAGTATAAAATATATTTTTTCCTCTATTTAAAACATTTTCACAAACTGTCATTTAAATCCTGACATGAAATGTAAATTTAAGTAAAAATCATTGGAAAGTCATTAAAGCAAATTTCTTAAATCTCAAGAAAAGCACGTTGGATACCGAGGAAGACACAATCACCCATAACAGAGGGCGGGAAAGTAAAGGCAGTTTCTACTTGCCATCTTTCCTCCTTTTATTAAACAAGTTTTTCTATAAATAACTCGTTTTGTTGGTTTTGAGAAATGCTCGAGAGGCAGGAAGAATCCCCGCCTGGGGAAGACAGAAAACGGGCATTACAAACGCCACGCCTTCTCTGGACACCATCCCGGCCGGCCCCCTCCCCTCCCAGGACTTGGGCGCTGACCACCGCGTCCAGCCCCCGGGGTATGGCCGGTCCACCCCAGGGTCCTCCAGCACCCAGCCGCTCCGCCCAGAAACTGGGAGATAACGCGTCTGCCCGCGGCTCTGCATTCTTGCCCTCGCCCTACCCCGACAGTGGACTGATCAGCAATCAGTAAGCTCGATCGTACTGTTCCCGGCCCTCCACAGCTTTCAACCCAAAGCTCCAGGACTGAAGGACACGCAGGGCTACGCTGAAAATCCACATGGGCTCCCTGTGAGCCTCTTTTCCCGAAGCACGCACCAAGCGCATGAACTCGGGGTCCTTAGTCGACCCGAGCGCCCAGGGCGCCCTCTCCTCAGCGCTGCCCCGGGCCCCACGCGTCTGCCCCGGGCCACCGAGCCCGCACCCGAGGCCGCGGACAAGCCGGGACTGAGCCGCATCACGCGCCGCGAGCCCACGCGCGGAGGCCCCGCCCCCAGGCCGGCGCGGCCAATCGCGGCGCGGGCAGGCGGTGGGGGCGGGGCTGGCCCGGCCGAATCCCAGGGCTTTAAATGCGCGGCCCGGGGGGCCACAGCCAGGCGTCGGAGACCCCCGGAGCTGTGCGTGCTGACTGCGCCTGCGCAGCTACGCCCGCCACAGGTGAGCGCCGCATGCCGGGTCCCGGCGCCGCGGGCCACCCCGGGAACCAGGGCGGTCTCCAGCTTTGGGGGTCGAGGGTTCGGGCGTCCCAGGAGACGCAGTACCCCGGCCCGGCCGGACTGGACACGGCAACCTAAGCCGCACGCCGCGCTGCGGGCCGCGCTCCCTGCGCCGCCGCCCGCAGCCCCCGGAGCGGGGCGGTGCTCTGAGCCCCGGGAGAGCCTGCTCCTGTCCGAGCGCGGGCACCGGGGCTCTGGGCTCCGTGTGCCGGGACACCGCGTCCCCGGTGTGGGGAGGGAGTGCGGGTGTCGACGCGCAGGCCACCTGTGGGCACCCCGGGGCTCTGGAGGCGCTCCTGCCCACCTTGCCCTGGGAAGGCCTTTCGGAAAGGTTTCGAGTCGAGGAGCAGGGTTCGAAGGCACGTCTCACCCCCGCCGTACGGTGGTCAAGAAGGAGGTGTGAGGCTTCTGTCCCTGCTTGGGATAAGATGTCCTCATTAGTGAGGTTTTCCTGGGCCTTCTATAAATACCTGGACCAACAGTTTCCGAGTTGTTGCCTTAAGATTCTGACCTCTAAGGTACCTTGAGACCCTTATCAAAACCGAAATTTTCACTGCACCCTTACAAGGCTGTTTGAATTCCTGTAGCACTTGTCAGCCCACTTTTTGGTTGATGGCTGAATCAGATAGCTCCTCTGTTTTTTGGGTTTTTTTTCTGCTTTATCTCCCCAAACCCCCCCCCCCCCCCGTACACAGTTGTATATCCTAGTTGCAGGTCCTTCTAGTTATGGGGTGTGGGATGCCGCCTCAGTGTGGCCTCATGAGCGGTGCCATGTCAGCCCCCAGGATCCGAACCCTGGGCCGCCGCAGCGGAGCGAGCGAACTTAACCACTCGGCCACGGAGCCGCCCCGATAGCTCCTCTGTTTGATAAGTCCTTGGCCTGTTTTTCTCCACCCACATTCTTAGCCGCCTTCCACACAGCTGCCGTAAATATTCTGAAGATCTTTCAAATGTTTTTACTCCACCATAGTGGCTGTAAGTTCTCAGCAGAAAGTAGGACAGCTTTTTTTTTAAGGGATTGGCCTCATCAAATCCTCATTTCTTTTCCCTTCCTAGGTTTTTGAAACATGAATCCTTCACTCTTTCTGGCTGCCCTTTGCTTGGGAATAGCCTCAGCTGCTCCAAAACTTGATCCCAGTTTAGATGCACAATGGTACCAGTGGAAGGCAACGCACAGAAGACTATATGGCGTGGTTGGTAACATCTGAAACTGTCCAGCGGGATCTCACAGAGAACGGTCCATGCTGCTGGGAGTTTATAGCCGAGAGTAACTTCTTGAGGCCGGCTCTTACCAAGACAGTAACTTCATGGCACCCGTTACCGAGCACAATATAGGCATATGTCCCTGTTGTGTGGGTGCTGGAGAACAGCTACCAGAAGTGAAAAGCCATCGCTGGCCATGGTTTCTCTTCTCTGTCTGCAAATCCGCTTGGTGAAGTTGAGTTGGTGTTAAATAGGAATAAAGACAATAGGTTATATGTTTGCCTCTAGAATAAAGAAGCATGGAGGAGAGCAGTGTGGGAGAAGAATATGAGAATGATTGAACTGCACAATCAGGAATACAGCCAAGGGAAGCACGGCTTCACCATGGCCATGAATGCCTTTGGTGACATGGTGAGTGTTCCCTGGGTTGCGGAACTTTTTGTGCTTCCTGTCCTCAGTGCTTTAGCAAAATCATCTCTTGCTTTCCAAATTCTATTTCATTTGCCTTGAAGACCAATGAAGAATTCAGGCAGGTGATGAATGGCCTTCACAACCAGACGCACAAGAAGGGGAGAGTGTTTCGAGAACCTCTCTCTGCCGAGCTCCCCAAATCTGTGGATTGGAGAAAGAAAGGCTATGTAACTCCTGTGAAGAATCAGGTAGGATGGGATTCAGCAGATCTCTCTCCAAGAGTAAAACCAAAAGGGAAATGGCGTTCTTGCTGTGGTAGACTATGGAACAAGATGCAGTTCACTGTTTTTTAAAAGAGTTTGAGATATATGGGCTGTTGTCAAGATCTTGCTGTTTGTTTAGTACACTGAGAGCTTTTTAATGTTGTTTTCAGGGTCTGTGTGGTTCTTGTTGGGCTTTTAGTGCGACTGGTGCCCTTGAAGGACAGATGTTCCGGAAAACTGGCAAACTTGTTTCACTGAGTGAGCAGAACCTGGTGGACTGCTCTTGGGCTCAAGGCAATGAGGGCTGCAGTGGTGGCCTGATGGATTATGCCTTCCAGTACGTCAAGGACAACGGAGGCCTGGACTCGGAGAAATCTTACCCATATCTTGCGGAGGTAAACAGAGCTCCTTATTTTGTTATCATTCCAGCTCTGCTTTTGAAAGTTGGACACTTTCAGGGAAAACAGATTCCATATTTGGAGTTCACATTGTAGATTGTAGAATCTACATTTGCAAACTGTCAGAGCTGTCATTAAAATATATTAGCCTTGCACAGTTCTCTAGGTAGATGGCTACTATCTAGCTGTTCCTATTTCTCTGTTATATGGAGATATACATACCATTCTATATATAGTTCAGATTTCTCCAGAGAGAACAATTTCTTATGGACAGGTAGACTGAGAGTGTCGCATTGAGGGGCCAGCCCCGTGACCAAATGGTTAAGTTCATGAGTTCTGCTTCGGCTGCCCAGGGCTTCGCTGGTTCGGATCCTGGGCGCGGATATGGCACCACTTATCAGGCCATGCTGAGGCAGCGTCCCACATAGCACAACCAGAAGGACCCACAACTAAAATATACAACTATGTACTGGGGGGATCTGGAGAAAAG